ACTCCATACATATAGTACTGGCTGTAGGAATAGCAGTACCTATACACGCACAAATTGTATGCAAGATGGCGGATTTACGTGCAAGTTATGCGTGCGTAAAATTTTACACAAACCATTTCACGTAACTTAAAGTACACGCAGTCTGCTTGTAATTTGACTCAAGTAAGAATTACCGTGTCCATTTCATGTGGCTTGCATGTATTTTCCACCTAGCCGTGAACATGAATTCAACAGTGGAAGTTAGAATCTCAGTCAGTCTATTTCAATGTTTGAGAAATTGAGCCTTGCGTGTGTGTTCTTAGAATAAGGTTTTATCGTCGGATTGCCTTCATCTTTTAAAATTTTTCCCTCATTTCAAACCACGCTAAGTGAAATTTCCTTTGTAGGGGTATCCCAGATTCGATTGATTAAATATCAAAAGTTTTACCTGTAATGAGCAAACGATCGATGGAAATGCTTGAGATCATGTGACATAACCAAAAATAACCAAAATCAGAACTTGTGGTGCTTTGATTTAGAGATTCAATTTGCTGGCTTAGTTTGAGCAATGGCACACTGTAGAAAAGCAAAAGGTTAGATTCCAGTGTAAACGGGATTACTTCAAGCATACATGTCAATATTCCAGAAGGAAGTTTTATACACTTTCATGCATGTAGGGTTTACAAGTGGATCTTGTTTATGTTCCGCTACGAGTAAATGTGTGTTATTTTGAATTCTGTTCCCATGATTGTTTCCACATTTTTAAAAATGCAATTGGTGAAAAATATTACCCCCCCACCTAGCAATACAGTCTAGATCAACAGAATTGTATTTTAACAAAAGTAAAGTTAAACTTTTAATAAAGCTGGACTATTGTAAAGTATGACTCACATGTTTTTAATATTCTAAAAATTACATGTATGTACTTAGTGTGCATAAAAAACAAACTCAACGGCAAGTGTCATGAGAATTTAAAACATGTCTTTTTCTAGTTAAACATAAAACACCAAGTGTTTAAGTGAAACTGGATGCTGTGTGGAATGAAGTAGCGAGTGTTTAAAACTAGGACACAGTTAATTGATGCTTGCAAGATAGTTTATTTTAGGTCGACAGACTAAGTTTGTTTGGGCAAAAACATTGATGCCTTATACCACGAAGGTAATATGCTGTTGGCACAAAAGTCTTGGTCTTATATTCAGATCAAGGGGAAGGTGAAAAAGGCGAACACACAATCATGCGTTTTAGCATGATCCTAAAATAGATTGTCAGTGCGCTCATTCATGAGCAAAAATTAAATGGTTAGAGGAAAATGAAATGGATAACAGGGTAGCATATCTTTACTCTTACGTGTAATTTATGATTATTGTCGCTTAATTCCACATGTTCAAACTAATCACGAAATGAAAGTGAAATGTAAACAAATGCAAACATAAGGTGAGCCAGCCAATTTGTGATGTTCAGATGACAGATATGCAAGCAAAAACCTTTTGATGAATTTTTGAAATACAAAGTCGAAATTTTATGCATTCTTCGAAAACCAGCAGTGCTGTTAGACGTGCAACATTTTTCTGCAAGAAAAAGCCACCTATTACTTAGGCTAGTAATTAATATTCAGCAGTAAATACTCTGCCCTCTTTTACACGAAACTCTGGGAGTAAAAATTAATTTCACATGCACTATGAAGAATTTGCATGTAATTTTTTACACGTATTTTTGTGTATTTCTTTTACTTGCACATGACATGCACATAATTTGTGTAAATTGCATGCAATATGTTACATTTACACTCATGAAACATGTCTGTAATGCTGCTGTTCCTTAAGCCAGTATACTGTACATATATATGTATCTTATGTTATAAAAACATTGCTGCATTAACAAAAAACCTAAACTAAATAAAAGCCAATTTATACTAATATTAATGAATTAATGGATGAATTTTTAAAGCGTATGATGGAAAAAGAAATAAACAGTTTTTATATAGCCTGCCATGTCTTTTTTTTTTTTTTTTGAGTCTCCTACGGAGAAGCTCAGTGCTAGAGTATCCGAAGTATCAATTAGAAGGTCACAGTACATGTAGGTTTGATTCCTATTGGGAGCGCTTGGCATTCTTTTTTCTCTGAGAACGCCCGTGTTATTCTCTGAATATATTAGCATTTATTTATTTTTTTTGTTTTTGTTTTTGTCATTGTTATCATCATTACTGTTACTATAATTATTATCATAGTTTATATCAAACAACAACAAACATATGAAACATATGTGTGAACTGCGGTTATGAGACGTATATGAGCACGATCCTTCGCAGTAAAGCACTATTTGAGCAATAGTGAAAATCAGACCTGAAAAAAATTTCAGGCCTGTACGGGATTCGAACCACTGACCTCTGCGATACTAGTGCAGCGCTCTACCAATTGAGCTAACAAGCCAACTGGGAGCAGGCCATCAAATTAATTCGACATAAACCCGTAGATGATAAATCAAACAACAACAAACATATGAAACATATGTGTGAACTGCGGTTATGAGACGTATATGAGCACGATCCTTCGCAGTAAAGCACTATTTGAGCAATAGTGAAAATCAGACCTGAAAAAAATTTCAGGCCTGTACGGGATTCGAACCACTGACCTCTGCGATACTAGTGCAGCGCTCTACCAATTGAGCTAACAAGCCAACTGGGAGCAGGCCATCAAATTAATTCGA